CCAAAAGCCGACAGACCCGGAAGGGTCATCGGAGGAAACCGAATAACCCCGAAGGGTCATCGGAGGGGGGAGCACATGCCGGCTCCAGCATGCTTAAGCGGCTGGGGAGCCCAGCGACTCAAGCATCAAAAACTTCGGAAGCTCAAAGGTTTCCGATCAAAAAAACGCCACACCGGAGAAGAAAGCAGAAGTAAGAGAGAAGGGAGAGAAAAGGGGGGGAGAGAGAGAGAAAGTAGTACAATATTCAAAGTGCCTCTTTTTTGGGTGGGAAGAAGAGGAGGGAACAAATTCTGTTGGCTGTGTCCTGCGGACATAAAATATTTGTCACGTCTTGGGTGTGGTTATGCCACACGACTAGATATTAAGTCTATACAATTATGATAGTAACAATATTAATTTTATTTTATTTTATTATTAAAAAATTATAATTAATGAAATAATTATATTTATTATTTAATACATTTAAATTAAATTGTATATTAATATTTTTAAACATTATAATTAATTATTTAAAAGTATTATTAATTAATAAAATATCAATCAAATTAAAAAAAATCAGTGTAACTTTAACATTTTGATGAACAACCATATCCACACCCGAGGTTGTAAGGAGACAATATATTATTCATTTCCTTATTCGTTCCTGATTCTTTTGCAATCTTGTTTTGTTTTTTTCTTCTCTTTTTTTTTTTTTTTTTTTGAAAAAAAAAATTATTCTGCAATTCTTAGATACAGGTGACCATTATGACAAAGACCAGGCTATTTCTTTCAGTACGATGATCATATAGCTCACGTGCATGCATTGAGAGCAAATAATGTCATGTGCTTTTGTTTCCGCAAATGAGAGTAATAATGTATGGTCATGATTCTGAGTACATGCTAGAAATGGAATGGAGTCATCCTCATAAAATTGCCCAAAAATGGTTAAAGTTCTACAAAGGAAATTATTCCTTCAAAGTCTGCCTTGACCAAAACTTGCAGCACCTGTTAATGTAAACTCGTTGACGTATTCTACGGTATGTCAGTTGTGTACCAAATGTTTTCTTTTAGAATGATCAAGAGATTTTATAAATAAGTACCAAATTTGCAGCACCTGTTAATAGAGGAGCTTCAGGATTACCCCTAACAACAGACCTCCGCATTATAACTTCGACAAAATAAAATAAAATTTCAAATTAAGGATCTTCTATAGGTGTTTAAGAACTTATAGAAGTAGATATGAATACTGCTGATGGCCTTGAATTGATGGAATAATCATATGCTGTTGTTGTGCCTGCAAAATTCCAAGAAACAAAAATAAGTAAAATCCAATTGGAAATTAGAACCACACCATATCCATCCATTTCTTTGAAATTTGAAAGGAAAGACAAACATCTTCATTTTTCCTCCAAACTTTCAGAATCAAGCTGATCCAAGGTAAAATGTAAGTAAATTATAAAGAAAGAAAGATTGTAGTCACTCAACCTGTAATCCCAAATATGTAAAGAGTGGCATTAACTATAATCTCAATTTTTTCTCAGGAATCTGCACATCATATATTTCCTTCATCTCAAAGGCCTAACGAAGAAGAAAAAAGTTCATTTCAAGATAATTTCAAACATTCAGGGAGAAAAAGGAGATAAGACAATGTCGAATAAATCCTCAACAATTCAAAATTATGAAGAAGAAAAGTAACAGGTAAAGTAACAAGATGGTTAAGTGACTTCAGTATAACATATTTGCTCAAGTATATAAAGTTCCCAGATGGTTTACTCTAAAGCAAACTATTAGCCCTTTAGGAAGATCTTCAGCCTATACAAAGTCAGATCACTTGTTTAGAATATGGTTGCAAACTTATAATAGTCAAATATTATGCTGAAATTTACAACACACAACCATATAATATGGCCAAATGTTGATAATCCATTTTATCCCCAAACACAACCATAGAATGTAAGACACTTGTATGTAAACTGTATTACTGATTTCAATTGTTCAACCAATATCAACTAGGGATTTGAGCAGGTGTACCAATTTAGGGGAACAAGTTTCACATGTACCACCAAAAGATTGGTACATGTGATGATTATAATATATATATAGCACCAAAAGATGCATATATAAATGAGAGAAGATAAATATATGTGCCTAAACCATGTCTGGAATGAGATGATTATAATTTTATAGGTAAGGCAAAATCAGAGCGCAAATCCTGCTGTGCAACTGCACCCTAATAAGTTCTCAAAATGTCCAGAGGTGATCATGAGATTTTGCACATAAAAAGCACTTGTAAAATGTAACAACAAAAGTCTTGTATTACAGTATATCCAACCAGATATGATCAATGTAAATTATATATTCAAAACAATGTAATACACTTCTATACTAAAGATTACTATAAATCTATATCAGGTGGAATATTTTGTTCAATTTAATAACTAAAAAATTAGCATGAAGAAGTTTGTGCTGCTTTATCTATGAACCGAGCAAATACTTATCAAAATTTGTGTAAACACTTTGACAGTTTATCCTCTCAAGTTTCCTTACATTAGTGAAAGCTTCATCAGCAGACAAAATATATGTCCACAAATGAAACAGAATAGCTGGAAGAATCGTTGCCACAGAAAGGCCTACAAGTAATAACATTATGTCCAGATAAAACTGACTACATTAAGACAATCTAGCACTAAGAGCAAAAATTTTTTAGAAGAACTACCATCAGATGGTAATATAATTTAGATTTTAGAGAGATAGAGAGAATTACTCGAGAGTTAATATAGTTCGAGGATCCCTGATATGCAAACTGCACAATTCATTCCCAACCAGTTTAGTATCATGAGTTAAGGATTTTAGGAAGTAAAGAATTCAGTGTAAAATACTTCAATACAGAACAATTACAAAATAGGTTATATGACTGCACCTGGGCATCCTGGCCGGCTAGGCTTCCAACAGCCTCCCTTTTTGCAGATCCTTCCCCACCCCTTGCAGATACCTTGGCATCACCCTGCCAGTTTACATGGTTTGCAAATGTCACTCATAAGCTTATAGAGGAGGAGAATTAATTTTTCCATTTTGAGGTAGGGAAGAAGAGAAAATGGAAACACAAAAGAATAAAGGATATTGGGGTATAAGAGAGTATAATTACCTCCAACTGTGACATTGCATTCCAACAACACAAATAAATAAAAGAAGAAAAAAATATATAGTTAGATAAATCCATATAGACAGCAGCATGTCATTAATAAGAAAATATGAGTGAAACAAAAGAAAACAGAAGTATTAGTTTCTGACTTTTAAACACTGAAGTCAAGTGAGATTTCAGTCTTCTTCATATCTTCAATAAGCTAAAACAAAAATGGTCCACAAACAGAATAAATACGAACTAACAATGAACAGGCAAAAACGAAACACTTACCTCCCTATATCTAGCAAGGTAAATTTTAAGTGGTTCAATATAGTCTTCAAATCCTAATGTCACCATTGCCCACAACAAATCATCCCCATTAATAGTCTTTCTCTTCTCCTTCTGACATTTATCACTAGCCCTACAAAACAATCACGCCCAATCATTTTAAACAACAATCTACAAAAATTATAAAACAGAAACCTTACTTTGTATAAACATCAATTTATAGTCAAGAACTTGAACCCAGGTTTACAAAAACACTAAAAACAACATTAAAAAGAAAAAAATCCTACTAAAATGGGTCAAGGTCAGGAGTTAGAATCCTTGCAACGTTAAGCAATAATTTCCTTTGACTAAAAAAAAAATACTATCATATTTGTATTCCCAATAGCTTCGATTACGATTCACAGAACGAAATCCAGCTCATACAAATCAAAAACAGCTTTCGCAAAACAAAAATCACCGAATCGTTTCCTTCATTTGAACACAAACAAATCAATAAGAGAAAGCAGAGCTGAAAATTTTTTCATACTCGCTGGTTATGAAGCTGACGAACTCAGAGACGCATTCCTGGACAGTGTCCTTAGCATCCTTTGCTATTTTGCCATTGGCAGGGATGGCCTTTTTCATGATGCGACTGATATTCGCAATCGGCAGGTAACGGTCTTGCTCCTTCCCTCCCGACTGCGGACTCTGCTCCCCTCCGCTCCCATGGCTTCCTGCTGCCGGACTCGCTGGCGCCTCCGCCGACATCTGACGTAAACCCTAGATCACACTGATCCCACACATCAAGATCAAAAAACCACATATGTCCGCCCTCAGCCATCCCATAACACACACACACACAAAACATCCATACATTCAGAAATCACACATGAATCAATCAACCATCCCAACGATTTCACATACAAATATACATACATACATGCATAAAAAGAGATGTTACATGCATCATACAGACATACACGAGGCATGAACATGCATGTGCAGGAAATGAGAACAAGAGTGTCTGGGACCTGTAAAGAGGAGGAAATTTTTATATTGACGCGGGAGCGATGAAGATTGGTGGATTGAATTGAGTTGTTTGATTCAGAAATCTGACGATGGGGAAGATGAGAGAGAGAGAATTTGGGGATTTGTTTGGTTTTTTGTTTATCCAAACCGTTGGATTTGATTTGGTAGAAGAGGAGGTTCGCTCGTTTATATAAGAAGAAGCCAATCCGTAATTGGTCACGTTTTTCCGATGTTTCTACTTTCTCTTCGCATTTTTATCCGGGTATATTCCGTCTAGGAAAATTACTACTATGAGCTTGCTTCTTCTTTTTTTTTTTAATTAATTATTATTATTTTTATCTTTTATTACGTAATTAAAAACAATCATATCTCATTTCTTATCTCATTTCATTTATATGTTATACAATTTAAATTCAAAATTTCTTATTTCTAACGAAAAAACCAAAACCATTAAATTATTTAGGTGATTGATTAAAATTAGTTATTTAGATAATTAGATTGTTGGTTAAAATTAATTAATTTTAGAATGATGTTTTAAGTTAGAAACAGAATATTGCATATATTATTCAAAAATAGAAATTCTGGACTCAAATGTAAATTAGTGACATTTCATACAAATAATAAGGATATAGGTACAGGTTCTTTTAATGTTCAATTTCTAGTTTTTATGTATTAAAAAAATATAATT